ATGGCTAGTTATCCTGCACATTTTTTCATGTGCCTGTTGGCCATTTGAATTTCCTGTTTTGAAAAATGCCTGTTCAAGTCCTTTGCCCATTTCGATTGGTTGTTTTGTTGTTGAGTTTCTTGAGCTCTTTATAGATTCTAGATATTAATCTATTATCAGTTGCATAGTTTGCAAATATTTTCTCCCATTCTGTTGCTTATCTCTTCACTTTGCTGAGTGTTTCTTTTGCAGTGCAGAAGTTTCTCAGCTTGCTGTAATCCCAGTTTTCTGTTTTGGCTTTGATTGTCTATGCTTCTGGGATCTTTTCCAAGAAGTCTTTGACTATGCCAATGTCTTGCAGGGTTTTCCCAATGCTTCCTAGTAATTTGATGGTATCAGGTTGTAGCTTTAGGTCCTGGATCCATTTTGAGTGGATTTTTGTGTAAGGTGTAAGGTAGGTTTCTTGTTTCATACTTCTGCACATGTAGATTCAGTTTTCTCAGTACCATTTGTTGAAGAGCCTATCCTTGCTCCAGCGATTGATTTTAGCTCCTTTGTCAAAGAGAAGTTGGTGGGGTCAGCACTGTGGTGCAGCGGGTTAAAGTGCCAGCCTGCAGTGCCAGCATCCCGTATGGGCACTGGTTCGAGTCCCGGCTGCTCCACTTCTGATCCAGCTCTCTGCTATGGCCTGGGAAAGCAGTGAAAGATGGCCCAAGTCCTTGGGCCCCTGCACCCACATGGAGACTTGGAAGAAGCTCCTGGCTTCTAACTTTGGATCAGCTCAGCTCTGGCCATTGCAGTCATCTGGGGAGTGAACCATCAGATGGAAGACTTTCTCTCTCTCTCACTTTCTCTACTTCTCCCTGTAACTCTGTATTTCAAATAAATAAAATAAATCTTTTAAAAAACAAGAGAAGTGGTTTTAGATGTGTGGATTGATTTCTGGAGTTTATATTCTGTTCCATTGGTCTACACATCTTATTTATTTATTTATTTTTCCAGTACCAGGCTGTTTTGATTATAATCGCCCTGTAATATGTATTGAAATCTGGTATTATAAAATAAATTACTTTGTTGAAAAAAAAAAAAAACACCACATAAATTTTCTTTAGATGATGTGCGGAAGAAACTGATTGAGAATGCAGGAGTAACTGTAGGGAGAAACATTTTGATCACTGATATATGCCTTAGAGCTACCCAGATGAATTACACTGAGGGTAATCAATAAAGTAGATCACCCCACCACAGTCCCTGCATAGAGAGTGGTTAAGTTTGACATAAGACATGTTGGATGTTATGAAAACAAATATTGTGCTGAATTTATTCTCTCAGGAAAAAATAAATTACTTTGTTGAAAAAAAAAAGAAATCTGGTATTATGATACTTCTGGTTTTGTTTTAGCTATTCTGGGTCTCTTGTGTTTCAATATGAATTTTAGCACTGATTTTTCTAGATCTGAGGAGAATGTCATTGGTAGTTTGTTTAAGATTTCATTGAATCTGTAAATTGCTTTTGGTAGTACGGACATTTTGATGATATTGATTCTTCCAATCCATGAACATGGAAGATTTTTCCATTTTTTGTGTCTTCTATTTCTGTAATATTTTGTAATTTTCATTGTAGAGATCTTTTGACAATCTTGGTTAAATATATTCCAAGGTATTTTATTTTTTCTGTAGCTATTGTGAATGCGATTGATCTGAGAAGTTCTTTCTTAATCATGACATTGTCTGTGTATACAAAGGCTATTAATTTTTTGTGTTAATTTTATATCCTATCACTTTACCAAACTCTTTTATGAGTTCCAATAGTCTTTTAGTGGTGTCTTTTAGTTCCTCTATAAAAAGAATCATGTCATCTGTAAGTAGGGGTAGTTTGACTTCCTCTTTTCCAATTGGTATCCCTTTGATTTCTTTTTCTTGCCTATTGGCTCTTACTAAAACTTCCAGTGCCATGGTGAGAGAGGGCTTCCTTGCCTGGTTATGGATCTTAGTGGGAATGCTTCCAACTTTTCCCCACTCAATAAGTTTGCTGGCTGTGGGTTTGTCATAAATTCCCTTGATTGTGTTGAGGAGTGTTCTTTTTATACCCAATTTGCTTAAAGTTTTCATCATAAAAGGATGTTGTGTTTTATGAAATGCATTCTTCGCAATTATTGAGATAATCATATGGTTTTTCTTCATTTTATTAATGTGATGTATCACATTGATTTGGGAATGTTGAACCATCCCTGCATACCAGGGATAAATCCAGCTTGGTCAAGGTGATTGATCTTTCTAATATGTTGTTGGATGAATAAGCATTTCTTAGGATATACAAATGGCCAACAAATAAATGAAAAAATAGTCACCATTAAGGAAATGCAAATTAAAACTACAGTGATCTATCACATCACACAAATCAGCATGTTTATTATGAAAAAGATGAAAGATGATAAATGTTGGCAAGGATATGCCAAAAATGGAACCCTGCTACTCTGTTAGTAGGATTTAAATTGATATAGCCATTATGGAACACTACAGAGATTCCTCAAAAAAGTAAAAATAGAATTGGTCAATGATCTAGCAATCCCAGTTTTGAAGCATACCCTTGAAATTGATGTGTCATTGCCTTCCTATGTTCACTTCTGCATAATTTACAATAGTCATGTTGTAGTCTTCCTAAGTGTCCGTCAGTGGATTAGTAGCTAAAGCAATGTAAATGTATACAGAATGGAAAACTATTCAACCTTAAAAAGAAAATTCTGTGATTGGCTACAACATGCGATAAGCCTGGAGGACATTATATTAAGTGAAATAGGCCAGGCACAGGAAAACAAAAGCTGTATTTTTTCACTTACATGGTGTATAATCTAAAACAAGTAAACACATAGATAGAGTTAATGGAATGGTGGTTACCAAAAGGTAGGGTAGTCAGAAAAATGGGGACATGTTGATCCAAGGGTAGTAATTTGATGGATATGTTAATTGACTTGACTCACTCATTCCACATTGTGTACATGTATCATAGTGTTGCTGTGTACCCCATAATGATATTTGATTAGAATCTGTTAAAAAGTAAAGTGACAGCCGGCACCACAACTTAATAGGCTAATCCTCCGCCTGCAGCACTGGCACACCAGGTTCTAGTCCCTGTCGGGGCGCCAGATTCTGTCCCGGTTGCTCCTCTTCCTGTTCAGTTCTCTGCTGTGGCCCAAGTCCTTGGGCCCTGCACCCACATGGGAGACCAGGAGAAGCACCTGGCTCCTGGCTTCGGATCAGCGCAGTGCGCTGGCCGCAGCATCCATTGTGGGGGTGAACCAACGGCAAAGGAAGACCTTTCTCTCTGTCTCTCTCTCTCACTGTCCACTCTGCCTGTCAAAAAAAAAAAAAAAAAAAAGTAAAGTGACATAAAAATGAGTGGAATTTCAGTTTGGAATGATTAAAAATTCTAGAAATGGATAGTGGAGATTGGTTGCGCAACATTATGTATATAACTTAATGCCATTGTACTATACATTTAAAAATCTTTAAAATGTTAAATGTTATGTTATATATATTTTACCACACAAAAACTGAAGCAAATGAAATAGAAAGTGTCAGGGAATCAGTTTATTAGGTCAGAATAGAAATAAGAATAGAACTACCTCCAAAAAGTAAGAAATAGAGAGGAAAGTAAGGAAGTGTAGTGTATGTTTTATTGGCATCTCAGAAGTGAGAGAGAAGACAGTCAACAAATATTTGAAAAGATAAGAATCCAGGGAATCCAAAAAGAAATGACACACCTTGATGCATCGTTGGAAAACTGTGAAGAATTAAGGACAAAGAAAATCTTAAATGCAGCCAAGCAATGAAAAGCCGACGTATTAGCTCCAGAGGTCTCTTAGCTAATTGCAGAGAAGCTGTCCAGCAGCGTGGGGGCTGACTTGGAAGTGTGATGCAGGAAGAACATACTTCAGGGCTCACTCGTGGTGGCTGGCAGGATTCAGTTCCTTTTGGGCCGTTTGACTAAGGCTCTCAGTTTTTAGCTTGCTGCTGCCGCTGCGTTCCTTGTCACCTGGCTTTTTCCATAGGGTGCCTCGCAATGGCAATTGCTTCATCAAAGCCAGCGAGCAAGGGAGTCCTGGCATGATGGAAGTTACAGACTTTGTGGAATGTAATCCCAGGAATTACATTCCTTCATATTTGCTATATTCACTTGTCAGAAGCCAGCCACAATTCCAGTCCATTATCAGTGAGGGAGAGATCATTCACATCTTAGGCTTCATTACATCATTTACTCACGTACATAATTCAGTTTTCTCTCTGGAAACGTCAGGAGTGTGGACAGTGGGCTAAAAAGACAATAGCTAATAAAAAATGGTAGACAACTTCTGGGAAAACTGCAAATAAAAGATAACCAATAAAGAAACAAGAAAAAGTGTTAACTTCTATAGAAGAGAAATACTGGTTGGTAGAAATTGAGCTGTAGAAAGATTCCTAGCCTCTTCTAAGATTTAATCGATGAGTGAAAGCCCCATGCTGCTCTATAGCTGCAAGTAGAAGGAAGTTTTACCCAAAGGTTGTAAATGCTCACACAGAGAAAAAACCAAACCTTACTTACGCAGGATGTGAATTGGTTTTTCCTTACAGTCATCAAAGAATTTTCTATGACTCCAGATTTAATTTCCTTAATATTTCAATTATATATTCTAAATTGATATTTTATTATAGTTCTCAGTGTAAGATGGGAGTAGAAGATACATCCTGTTTATCAAAGTATGTAATCCCATTAGTGATAGAAAGTGGAAAATGTAGATCACTATGTTCTATTATACAATGCGTGATTATCTGTAGAGTGCACAAACAGTTGTATTACTGGAAGCGCTACATAATAAGTCAGTGTTATCAATACGTATTTGGGGAGTGAACCAGCAGATGGAAGAGCTTGTCTGTCTTTCAAATAAGTAAAAATAAATTTTAAAAATTAAAAAAGTTAAAGTGTACCACCACTATGTTAATAGATTTTAATTTTCTTTTCCATTTGTGTGTGTGTATGTGTAGGACCCAAATGAAGATACAGAATGGAATGAGATTTTAAGAGACTTTGGCATTCTTCCTCCAAAAGAAGAACCAAAAGATGAAATTGAAGAAATGGTTCTACGTTTACAGAAAGAAGCCATGGGTATAGTTGTGCTTTTGCTGGGCTCAATGAAGAGGACAATACAGTTAAGGTCATAACAATGCATTTCATAGAGGGAGAGAAGACATTAGGGATCATTTAATGTAAACCAAACTCCTTCTTTGAAAATGAGAATGGTGACTCCCAAAGTGACTAAATTACGTGTAGCAAATCTCACGCAAGTTAATAACAGAGCTGAAATATCCTGGCATGTAACCTAGTGAGGTTTCTGCCCCAACAGCATCCTTTTACCTTGTGATTATTTTCTATTTTGATCCAATAGCATGGACTACTTACCAAGATTTCCTTGTACGTGGCAGAAACCTAAATCTATGGAGTATAATTGATTTTCACATCTACTTTTAAATGTAGCCTGTCAGTTCTGTGAACTTTGAGAAACTAACTTTTATAGTATAGTTTCTATATTATGTAAAGCTATTTTGTGCTGCCTGCTTCCAGTTTGTTTAAAGTTATTCATCTCAACTTATCTGAGATTCCGTTTTTCTAGTCACTGAGTACAAAATAAAAAGGTTTACGCAATGATCTACAATTTATGTTGTTTCAGTTAAACCGTATGAAAAGATGACTCTCGCACAGCTGAAGGAGGCTGAAGATGACTTTGATGAGGAGGATATGCAAGCGATTGAAGCATACAGGTACAGCGATTCATTTGGAGTACTTAGAGATTTTTGAATGAAGAAACACAAGGAAACTAAGAATTTTTGTCATCTGGAATAGATTAAAAAAAAAAAACAATGTTTAAGTGAGATTCAAAAACCTCCATTATATAAGATGGAATTACATAATTTTTTTCTTACTCTTGCTTTTTCTTAAATAGAATATTATCTAAATAAATATAGTGGAACTTTATCAAATTACACATGAATAAAACAAAATGTCAATAATAAATCAGTAAAAAGATTTTTCTCTTAGCATGATGCCCATCAGTTTTCTATTATTTAATGGATAAGTAATTGCCAATATTAAATGTTATTCCAGAAATTAGAACAAGTTTGTATGTTTCCCAACTTATTTTACAAAGTCAGCATTAACCTGATACTAAAATGAGACAAAGGCATTGTAAAAACGGAACATATCACTTCTGTGGTATCCTTCTCAACAGTGAATAACTTTAATCATAAGCAAACATTAAGGAAACCCAAATTGAAGCAATGTAAAAAAAAAAAGTAACTAATGAGCTGACTCCGAGGTAGACAGCAGAGTAGGAAGCTCCAAGAACCACCTTTCCACTTAGACAACAACTGTTTGACTGTTGCACAATTCCAGAGTCTTCTGGATGCTTGCAACATCCAGGGGAAAGCTTGGCTGGTAAATTGCTGTTAATATGAGTTGCAGGGCTGGCGCCGCGGCTCACTAGGCTAATCCTCCGCCTGTGGCGCCGGCACCTCGGGTTCTAGTCACAGTTGGGGCGCCGGATTCTGTCCCGGTTGCCCCTCTTCCAGTCCAGCCCTCTGCTGTGGCCCAGGAAGGCAGTGGAGAATGGCCCAAGTGCTTGGGCCCTGCACCCCATGGGAGACCAGGAGAAGCACCTGGCTCCTGGCTTCGGATCGGCGCAGTGCCAGCCACAGTGGTCATTTGGGGGGTGAACCAATGGAAGGAAGACCTTTCTCTCTGTCTCTCTCACTGTTTATAACTCTATCTGTCAAAAAAAAAAAATTAGATGAGTTGCAGTCAGCCCTCAGCTCAGTGGCAGGGACCCATTCCTCACCCCTGCCCTATGGCAGGCATCTTTGTGGACAGCAACCTGCACTTCCGACACAGCTTGCTGGAACCAGGGTGAGCAATGAGGAGTCTGTCCACACATGTCTGGGTTCTGTATTCTGATTACAGGTTGCTGTTTCGGAACACGAAGATAGTGACAGTGGCTGGTCACTGTGACGTCAGCCCCCACTGGTTCAGGTGGCTTCCAGAGGACTTAAAAGAGCTGCTTTTCTTCTTTTTTCGTATTTGGTGGAAACAAGTGTGTATATGAGGCAACGTGGAAAGCCACTGCTGGTCTTCCAGGAGAGTTAGAGGCTCAGAAAAGACTACAGACAGAGTTAGTGTGAGAGAGAGACAGAGAGAAAGGTCTTCCTTCTGTTGGTTCATCCCCCAAATGGCTGCTATGGCTGGAGCTACGCCGATCCGAAGCCAGGAGCTAGGTGCTTCCTCTGCTGTGGTCAGGGAGTGCAGTGGAGGATGGCCCAAGTGCTTGGGCCCTGCACCCCATGGGAGACCAGGAGAAGCACCTGGCTCCTGCCTTGTGATCAGCGCAGTGCGCTGGCCGCAGCGCGCCAGCCGTGGCAGCCATTGGAGGGTGAACCAACGGCAAAGGAAGACCTTTCTCTCTGTCTCTCTCTCACTGTCCACTCTGCCTGTCAAAAAAAAAAAGAAAAAAAAAAAAAGAAATGGTTTATAGCTTGCATGTTCCACTGGTTTACGATCCTAATGTAACTGCAAAAGAAGAAGGTAAATGTGGTCTTCCTGTGGTCCCCGGAAGAGGAAGCTATTATAATAGCACAGATGCTAGCCAGTACCTCGGGATACGATAAAGAAATGAAAAAGATCATATTAAAAGTGAGATAGAATTCATTACATAGATGGTTACCTATAAAATCACATGTGAATGAGAAACTTGTTTAAAAAAATGATTTATTTGAAAGACTGAGTTACAGAGAGAGAGAGGGAAAGAGACAGAAGGATATAGATGGGGCGGGTGCTGTGGCACAGCAGGTTAAAGCCCCAGCCTGCAGTGCTGGCATCCCATATGGGTGTTGGTTTGAGTCCCGTCTGCCCCACTTCCGATCCAGCTCTCTGCTAATGCACCTGGGAAAGCAGTGGAAGATGGCCCAAGTCTTTGGGACCCTGAACCCACGTGGGCAATTTGGAAGAAGCTCCTGGTGCCTGGCTTTGGATCCGATTGGCTCAGCTCCAACTATTGCGGCCATTTGGGAAGTGAACCAGTGGGTGGAAGACCTCTCTCTCTTTCTCTCTCTCTCTCTGTCTCCCTCTCTCTGTAACTCTTTCAAATAAATAAAAATAAATCTTTTTTTAAAAAAAGAATGATATAGAGATCTTTCATCCACTGGTTCACTCCCCAGATGACCTCAATGGCCAGGGCTTGGCCAAGCTGAAGCCAGGAGCCAGGAGTTTCCTCCAGATCTCCCACGTGTGTGCAGGGGTCCAGGGGCTTGGGCCATCTACTACTGCTTTCCCAGGTGTATTAGCAGGGAACTGGATCAGAAGTAGAGCAGCCAGGACTTGAGCCCATATGTGATGCTACCATTGCAGGCAGCAGCTTAACCCATTACATCACAATGCCAGCCCCAGAAGCTTGTCTTATTGGGGAATGATGATGGAGAAAAATCTATTTGTAGCCACAAAATATCTGTAGCACATTTTTAATTTTATCGCACATACACTAAAGTGGCTACTGTGACACGTGTCCCTCTTCCTTTTGGAAGCTAAAAGCTAACACTGCCTTTTTCAGACTTCGCTGCAGCAAGGGTAGTAAATGTGATTTAGGTTCTGTTGGACACATTCGCAGATTTGAATTCAGAACTAAATTAAGTATGTAAAAAAGCGGCGGCATGCAAAGCATCCTAGCTGGTGCTAACCTCGACTTTGCACCATGATTTTGAAGCCATCGTTCTGGGAGCATGTCTTACCCGTAGACTGTTCCTATAGAACTAGGTTTCCAGTAGCAACAGTTGGTTTTCTGATGCTCACAGAAGTTTGACGCTAGGGCCAGTCGTTGGAACACAAGTTCCAGATTCCTGGTTGCTGGATTGCAGCAGACCAGCCTTGGCAGACCAGTTTTGCAGTTTTCTCCTGGGAGTCATTTCTGGTAGCCAGCCTAGATCCTGTTCCTTCTGTCTTTCCATTGGGTTTATAAAGCACTTAATTCCCAGGTTAAGCTCCTTTCTGTTCAAAATAGCCGAAAGGGCTTTCTGTTTATACAGTTGAATCATCACTGATAATGATTGTTAGGTGAAAAATGCAGGCCATTGAACACCATGTGACTGCCTCATGGCAAAATTAACTCATCTGTTTACTTTTCTCCCCTCCCCAATTCCACTGAAGTTAAAAAAAAAAAAAAAGGAGGAAGCAGAGATGGGAGGGGAAAAAGAAGTAGCTGATAGTTGTGGTAGGGTGCGGTGCCGCCATTGAAATAAGACCATTTTGAAAGTTCTACAAGATGTTAAGCCAGTGAATTCAGATTGGGAGTTAGTGACAGTGTGAACAAGGTACAGCTCCCAGAAGATCTTTGGAGCAACTCTAGGTTCTGAATGTCTCGGCCACGGAGGGAAAATTGAAGGACTTCAATTTGAAAACTGTGTGAGGGCCCTAGCCCTGGGTTGCTATATCCTTGGCATTATCCTTTGGGCTTCATTTTGCGTGGATTAGTTATGTAAATGAGAGTTTTTACCTGACAGGTGAAACAAGGCCTGAACACTTGAAAATGTATCCAGGATTTTGCTTTTATTCAAGTATGAACAGGGGACAATTGTTATTAAGTGGATAGGTTGTAACTCAGTTCCCCAGAGGAGGGGGCGTGCTCTACCACACAAAGGAGCATCCTAATTGGCCAGGAGTCAGAAGGAGAAAGCATGACATGAGCCTCTACTGGGGTTGCTATAGGACAGGCAAGGCAAAGTAAGCAGTCTTGGGATTGGCTAGTTTGAAAAATTTCGGTAGGCTCTTGGCTGTAGGGGTCATCTGATGCCTGATGCTGGACGGTTAGGGCAGAGAGCTAGTTAGTGCCTTAGCCTGATGGAGGATGTGGCTGAGAGTATGGATCCTGGATTAGTTGGTTTGCTTTTGTGAGTTTTTGCTGTTCCAATTAGCTGTTTCTGGGACAGGCTGTCTCTGCCGGATCACTGAGGCCCCAGATGCTAAAGCTTTATGAATATGGAGTAAGAAAATATAGTTAATACTCCAGGAAGAAGGGCGTAAGTACTTCCTGCAGTCTGGGCATTATGGCACAATGGGTTAGACCATCCTAGAGTACCAGTTTAAGTCCTGATGCTCTGCTTCGGATCTGGCTCCCCGATAACAAGCTTGGGGAGCAGTGGATGATGTCCCAAGTACCTTGAGCCCCTGCCACCTGTAGGAGACCTGGATGGAATTCCTAGCTTTGGCCTGGTCCAGACCTGTCTGTCGCAGCTATTTGGAGTGTGAACCAGTAGATGGAAGATATCTTTCTCCCCTCTACCCCCCACTCAGTCCACCTGTCAAATAAATAAATCAAAGTCTACAGATGTCAAAAAACTTGCTGACAGGTCAGAAAATAAATGGATTTGTTTCATGAATCTAAGCATTCAACAGCTAAATTATCTAAATATGTACCTTTGGAGAGTTCTTAACAAAGTTTTAAGATTCTCTCAGGATGAATAAATGAGCAAAACTTACTGAGTGCTCACTGTGTGCCAGCCACCATGCTAAGATATTTACATGCACTGCCTCGCTCAATCTCCAGCAATCCCATGTGAGTAGTTAAATTAGTACCATTCCTGGGGCCAGCGCTGTGGCATAGCGGATAAGGCTCTACCTGCAATGCCAGCATCCCATATGGGTACCGGTTCGTGTCCTGGCTGCTCCACTTCCCATCGAGCTCTCTGCTATGGCCAGGGAAGCAGTGGAAGATGGCCCAAGTCCTTGGGGCCCTGCACCCACATGGGAGACCTGGAAGAAGCTCCTGGCTCCTGGCTTCGGATCGGCACAGCTCTGGCCATGGGGGCCAACTAGGGAGTGAACCCCTCTCTCTCTCTGCCTCTCCTTCTCTCTCTGTGAAACTCTAACTTTCAAATAAATAATCTTTAAAAAAAATTAATACCATCCCCGTGTTCAGCGGGGGAATCAGACTTTCGAGAGATGAAGTGAATTGCCCAAATGCATGCCCCTCAGTGCTGGAACTCACACTTCATTGTAGGTTACTCTGACCTTAGAGCCTAAATCGTCATTGCTCTCCCTGACAAGCTCTCGACCTATAGGACATGTGGATGCATGGCACGGAATTTCACAAAGGCTTCGAACCGTCCATTAGCTTAGTGTGCTGTGAATAAATAAATGGGGATAATAATAGCAATGACTTCGTAAGTTTATGCAAGGATTAAGGTAGTTAGTGTATGTACTTAAAATAGCAACTACCCACCCCTTCTCTGTCTCTCTGCCTCTCAAATAAAACAACAACAAAAATAATAGTGCCTGGCAACCTAGTAAGCACTAAGAAATGTTAGGTATCATTATTACAGATAGTCTCTCTTAGGAAGTGGTATTTAACCTGCTCATGAGAACTTGTCAATCTAATGTCCAAATAAACTCTCTTTAGCTATGATTAAAGCCTAGTCTTTAGCTATTATTAAAACCTAGTCTCTTTTTTTTAAAGATTTATTTATTTATTTGAAAGGCAGAGTTACAGAGAGGCAGAGAGAGAGAGAGAGAGAGAGAGAGACAGGTCTTCCATCCGATGATTAACTCCCCAAATGGTCAGAACGGCCGGAGCTGTGCCAATCCAAAGCCAGGAGCCAGCAGCTTCCTCCAGGTCTTCCACATGGGTTCAGGGACCCAAACACTTGGGCCATCTTCCACTGCTTTCCCAGGCCACAGAAGAGAGCTGGATTGGAAGTGGAGCAGCTGGGACCCAAACCAGCGCCCATATGGGAATCCAGCACTGTAGGTGGTGGCTTTACCCGCTACGCCACAGCGTCAGCCCCAAAACCTAGTCTTAATAAATTTAAATAATTTAAAAATAAATTTTAAAATCAATTATTAAATTAATAGTAAACATACTTTTCAAGACTCATAACAAATTCCCCTATAAAAAGAAAAAATTGCCTTTGTAAGATTGCTAATGGTTATTCTATCATTTAAAGTGCTTGATTTATAGATATTGTATTCACTGCTCCAAATTATTGCTGTATAGGCAAATGACTTTAGGAATATGATAATTTTTTCATGTAATTTAATTCCATTTTTTAATTAGAGAAAAGCGGTTACAGGAATGGAAAGCTCTTAAGAAAAAACAAAAATTTGGAGAATTAAGAGAAATTTCTGGAAATCAGTATGTAAATGAAGTCACAAATGCAGAAAAAGATGTGTGGGTTATAATTCATCTATACAGATCAAGGTAATTATAGTGTTTCAAAATGTTGATATACTAATATTTTGAAAGATATGTTTCTGATTTTAGGGTTCTATAAAGAATATGAGTACAATAGAGTACTCAAAAGAAATATATATATAAATGTTTATAAAAGGTTTAATAATCATTGGCTTCAGGAATTAAATTAGGCATTTAAAATATTTACATTTCTAACGTAAAGAAATTTGCACAGTTTCTAGAAAAATAAGTACTCTTTGGTAAATAAAACTTTTTATTAAGGTGGGCATTTAGCCTGGCTGTTACGATGCCCACAGCCCGTCCCAGGCTCCAGGGTGGAGCTCCCTGCTGATGCAGGCCTGGGAGCAGTGGTGATGCCTCAGGTGTTCACGCTGCATGGGAGGCCCAGGTTGCGTTCCTGACTGCCAGCCTGGTTCCTGCCCAGGCCTGTCTATTGTGGCATTTGAGGGGAGACCCAGTGAATGGTTACTTTCTGTCTCTGTCTCTCAAATAAATAAATACATAAAAAGCAAAAAAGTATTTATTATGGAAAAATTTTAAAATACAGAAAGAATGAGCACTTAAATACTCACCATACAGATTCCATTGTGAACATTTTGCCATAATTATATCTTGTGTGTGTGTGTGCTTACATTTGCAGAAACATTCCTAAGTAAATTACACACAGCATCATGACTTATTCTTACTTACATCAGCATGTATCTTCAAAAGACAAAGGCCTTGGAAAAGAAGGAGAAGGATCTTTTCTTCCACCTATCTTTGTTTCACTGGCCTGGGAGCTCTGCACATTAGACGGACAAAAGACAGATTAACAAGAAAGAAACAGAAGTCTACTAATGAGCACGTCACAGATACACAGAGAGGAGTAACCTATAGGGGTGGCTAGAACTTGGACTTAATATAGCATCTTAACAAGAAAAAATAAATTTGTAAGAGAAGTGACATTACAAAGGAAGGGGTCTTTGAGCTTCTAGGGCTGGCAAACTTGGGGCGGGTAAATACATGAGGGAAATCGTTGGAAGGTTACATACTGTCGAGTAGATTCCTCTGGTGCCTCTCTGGGCTGCCGAGAGTCCAGAATTTTCTCTAGAGATTAACAATCAGCATTCCTTTCCCAACAGGGAGCGGGAGGGCACAGAGTATTCTTGTGTCTCTTTATTCTCAATTGCTTTGAGCTCAAAATAATCCTATGCCAGCATAATGTATTTTGGGTGATAAACTCTGAATCTGTTTAAGGGCATTCTTCTACATAGCCATGATACCATTTTCCCGCCTAACAAAATTAATGGTAATTTCTAGTAGCATTTAATGCCTAAGTCTTACTCAAATTTTCCCAACTGACTTCAAAATACCTTTTATAAATATAAATTTTTTGAATAAGGTACAAATCGTGTAGTACACTTACATTGTTTCTTACGTCTATTTTAGTAGAATAATTCCCATGCATTCCCCCTGTTTAACAAAGACAGTTAATTTTAAAATGCCCAGTTGTACAAAGTACAATCCTGAAGTCCCTAGGTCTTACCAGCCTGGTGTTTCTGAACTCTGTTCCTGTCTGGCTTTAGGTCCCAACCCTCCGCCTCATGGCTACAAACTATTGCACTGACCGGCTTCAGTGTCCTTGTCCCAGTCTCTCAATCCTAACTTTCTTCTTAGAGATACCCAGAGCAGCTTGTACGAATTAGAGTTCTGCTGTCTAGCAGCTCACCAGTTCCCCAGCCAAATTAAAGATAAATTATTCATTTATTTGGTTGAGAGAGACAAGGAGAGAGACAAAGAACCCACATTTTTAGGGCACCCTCCCAGTGCCCTTTGGTGACTGGTGACATGATTGGGCCAGCCAAAGCCAGAGGCAGGAACCCAATTCAGGCCTCCCATGTGAGTGACAGGAACCTAATCCCTTGAGCTATCAGCACTGCTTCTTGGGGTCTGCATCAGTCAGGAGCTGGAGCTGGGTGTCGAACCCAGTCACTCTGCTTTGGGACTTGGGTGGGCATCCTGACAGGCATCTTAACTGCTAGGCAAACATCTGCCACCCCTTCTAGTAAAATAGTGACAGAACATGAGCCACTAGAGGAAACTAAAATACTGGTAGATTAATTTTTAAGTCATTTTAAGTTCCTTTTTAAAAATGTTTATTTGAAAGGCAGAGTGACACACACACACACAGAGAGAGAGAGAGAGAGAGAGAGAGGGGAGGGAGAATTTCATTTGCTGGTTTATTCCCCAGATGGCCACAAGGTTGGGCCAGGCTGAAGCCAGGGGCAGGGACTCCATCCTGGTTTTCCACGTGGGTAGCAGGACAACAAGTACATCACCTGTTGGTTCCCAGGCTCATCAGAGGGGAGCTGAATCAGAAGCAGAGTAGCCAGGACTTGGAACCGGCACCCTGCCATGGGGCGAGGGCATCACAAGCAACAATTTAACCCACTGCGCCACAGTGCCCAGCCCCATTTTAAAGTCTTAAAATGACTCACATTCCTATTTTACCTCTACTGCTTATTTTGTTGAGCCAGCTTGTAAAAGCTGCTGCTAGTAATTCTCACAAACAAGGATGATAAATGCTGACATTTACAAAACTGGGATATGTTTGTGGGAAAGGTTAGATGCTAAAGTAGTTCACATATCTTTTCTGACCCTTTAAGATAAGTAGAAGAGATGTTGTTTCTCGATGCCTATAACATAACACTAAAATTATTTACTCTAATAGTTATTTCTAGGTAAATAACTAGTTTTGACAATTTTCAAAATCCATAGAAGTTGAATGTTTTTGTGTTCCTCAAATTGTCATCTTTGATAGACTCAGAGTAAGGATGTGGCTTTATAATATTTTAAGTATTTGTAACCTTCTTAGAAGGTTTTTTGAGGCCAGTCTAAGATATTTACATAAATTATTAGTTTCCTTGACATTAAGAAAATACATGCTTGTGTTAGTATGTAACATTTTAAGAAAATTGATTTATACTCAAATTTGTAAAATATATCATAGAAAGTAATTGTGCTATAAATATCCTTCAGACAAGTCTTTTTATTTTGGAAAGGCTTTTCCTTGTTTCCTGACTTGAGAGGCAGGGAGACAGAGAGTTCCTGTGTACTGGTTCACTCCCTTGGCTGGGGCACAGCTGGGAGCTGTGTATGCAACCCAGGACTTCCACGTGGGTGGCAGGAATCCAGCTGCTTGAACCAGCACCTGCTGCTGTCAAGGGTCTGAATTAGCAGGAAGCTGAAGTCAGCTACCAGAGTTGAGCATGAGCCCTGGTACTCCAGTGTGGAGTGTGGACATTCTATATTCTGGTGCCTTAACCATTAGGCCAAGTGCCTGCCCCAGAAAAGGTTAGTGTGTAAACACTGGATTTACTCACAACTGTTTAATTTTGTAAAATTAAGTATAGCTGTTAAACAAATTTGTGTTTCCAGCTAGTTTTTCAAGTTTTTTAGGAAGGTGATAATTTGTTTTATACAGATTCCTAAAATTCTATAACTGTAATGGTGTTTGGCATTTTGTTTATACAGTTGGGTCTATTTTTTCATAGAAATAAAGGCTCAGTCTGCTCAAGATGCCTTAGTGGGATCTAACTTGCCCTGGGCCAGTGAGCTTGAAGTCAGTGTTACTTCTGATTTTAGTCGATCTTACTTATACCTGTGCCCAAATTCCAGTTTGGCACATCCGTGTTATTCCTGTGCCCAAGTGCCTATTTTGGACCTTGAATACCATAATAGGCCCTTACTTTGTTTTCTGGTGTTAGAGCTCCTCCTTAGGTTTTACAGCTTTGCTGGGGCTGAACGTTCTGGACCCTGAGCTGCACCCCAGATCTGTTCCCTGCCACTCACTGTCAGCACCAGAATCCGTGTGCCACACTCTTCATGCGTTTCCCTGCCCACACCAGTGCACACCTGCTTTCTGCTGGTCACACCAGCACCCTCCCCCCAGCCTCGCACACACACGTCTCTGTCAAGCCACCGACTCACATCCCATTCTCGTGGTAAGAAGGAAATGTCCCTGAATTAGACATTAGTGGATTCGGTTCTTCTGAGGAAAATTTGAACTTGCAAACTTGATGTGTGTGGAAGACTTATGTTAGTTAGGCAGTGTATGCTTTCCTAGTATTACTTTCAGTGGGTCGCTCGTTAAAATAAAGCTCTATTTAGATTTCTAGCAGGTTAATACTATCAAATGAAATGCAAATTCAACATGCAGTGCATTTAATTTGTTTTTCTTAGCACCTTCCTCCATACACTGTCGTATATCAGTCCCTAAAGTTAAGAGGACTTCTGAGAATTCTGTAGGTGCTGGGGCTGCAAAGGCAGATAGGGCTCCTGTCGCTGCCCTTACGGATACTTTAATATAGTAAAGGGACACAAGTAAATGTAATGGTGATGTCTTTCAAGTGCTATGGTTGGAGTCTACACAGAGTAAAGGCACTGAAGATAGGCATAGTAATTCTACCTCTGGAGAGGGAAGTGTGAAACACTCTGTTGGGTAAGTAATTCTTGGTCTTGGCTTCCACGAGAAGAAGATTCCCAGTTTTCCAGGGTCGGAGGAGGTGGGTAGGATAAGCAGCTTCAGAAAGGTGCAGAAGCAGCAGGCGGCACAGTGCCTGGGGTGGGGGGGGAGGAAGGCGGGGGTAGGGACAGTCGGTACCTTGATCTGCCTGAAGCACCTGGTACAATGCTGGAGAGATAGTCCCGACTTTCTCCTGGAGTTAGCCAGGAGTCACTGGAGGGTTTTAAGCTTGAGGGAAGTGCCGAGTATCAGGGTCACACACAGATTTTCCTGCTGAGTTACCTTTCAAGTAGAGCCAAGGGTGAAAACGGGGAAGCAGGACTGGAAAGAGAGGCCGTGTAGGGCAATCTGTCGTAGCTCCGAGAGGAAAGGAAAGGAGTGGAGCAGTGGGAACAGGGAGGAGAGGAGAGATAGGAAAGAAGGAGGGACAACCAACAGGACCTGACTACCAACTGGGCATGGTAGAAGGCAGGGGGCGGGGCGGGGAGCAGAGGGTGTCGGCCTGGGTGCCAGTCTAATAAAACACAGGGGGAACGTGTGTGTGCACGCGTGTGTGTGTGTGAGTGTGTGCACACGTGTGTGTGTGTGCGCGCATGCATGCATGTGTGTGAATGCGTAGGGGAGATGAAAACCATCAGCTGTTGCTAGTGGAGCAGTGAAGATTCTGTGTAGATTTTGTGTGGAGTGAGAAGACCCACGATGTAATCCTAGGGAGCATCTACCGCTGAGGAACCGACAGAAGAAGGAGCTCAGAGAGGGGACAGGAAGTGAGTAGAAAGTGTTACCACAGAGGCCAAACGAGAAGAGCTTTTCGAGAGAAGTGAGCAAAATAGACTTTTTATTTTTCCTTTCTCACCTGGGCTAAGACCAGAGGAAAGAGATTAGTTATTGTAAGGAATTTTAAAAACCGATTTAACAATTTGAATCTCCAAAGTGCATAGTCTTTGGAGAAGGAAAGAGGAGACCGCAGGAAAAGGGGGCAGCAGAGAAACCACCAGAGGTGGTCCCGTGGAAAAGGGAAGGCGTGTGAAGAGGGGTGGGGGCGGGAGGATTGGCCTTGGAACATTCTGATAAAGCGCCAGGTGACGCAGTGGGAGAGAAGGAGCTAAAGAGCACAAAGATGTGGCGGTTTTGACCATGCTTCCAGTCCATCTTACATTTCTGATGAGGAACAGTTTGGATGATGGGGACAGGTGCAGCATGCCAAGGAGACCTTACGTAGCTTGTGGGAGTCAGAGAAGACAAGGAACTCTGGGTATGTGAGTTTCCTGGTGGTGACAAGGGCAGGGAGTGGGAGCCCTGTGTTTTAACTCAGAACTGCAAAAGATTCTTTAGGTTTTTGTTTTGTCTTTCTGTGACCCACAAACTGGGAATTGGCTTGAACTAAACTGATTATAAGTTGGATGTAGTTTGCCTAAGTTAGGCATCAGATTCCCTATGCAGTTAGTTTCATTCCCAGGCTGTAGTAGTGTTAACTGAAAATTGGAGGCTTCCACACAGCCTCGTCATGGTTAAAGGTAACAATGGAGGTGACAATGATACGCCTTTATATCAGAAACTATCTAAGCTGTGTTTTTGTCTTGGGGATGCTGCACTTATTTTACTAGGATGAGATGAGTAGCCTTTTTAAAAGATGATGTGTATACTGTTTCCTTTTTAGCATCCCAATGTGTTTGTTGGTTAACCAGCATCTTAGTCTCCTAGCAAGAAAGTTTCCAGAAACGAAATTTGTTAAAGCCATCGTGAATAGCTGTATTCAACACTACCATGACAATTGTTTACCAACAATCTTTGTTTATAAAAATGGTCAGATAGAAGGCAAATTCATTGGAATTATAGAATGTGGAGGGATAAATCTCAAGCTAGAAGGTAATGTTGTGATTTTCAAAATTTGTTTATAAAAATAACAGGTGAAAACTTCCATAGATTAACAAATGTCATGAAAGTATATTTCCTCAAAACATAAGGTTTTCCCTTACTTCTTGTCCCTTCCTATATGCCTCCAGATTAGCTTAGCTACTATTACTCATAACATACCACACTTTTGCTTAAAATACTCAATGGCTTCTGTGTCAAGTAAGTTAAGAATTAACCTCTCTAATGATATTTCTCAGTGTTTTTCTAGTTCCTTCTCTAGTTAGTCTATTCTTCAGCCACTTCCCCAGGACATACCTTACTCATTTGTGCCATCACACTTTGTTCTCTGTTCTGCCTTTGTACCTAAAATATCTAACCTTTCTTTGCTTTTTCTGTCCAAACTTTATTCTTATGAATTCCCTTAACTTCTGTGTATCCCATTATATAACCCTGGATTTTTTTTTAAGATTTTATTTTATTTATTTGAGAGGTAGTATTACAGACAGTGAGAGGGAGAGACAGAGAGGTCTTCCTTCTGTTGATAACCCTGGATTAATTCATAGTCTCTCTTCTTCTTCTGTTTAATTTCTATATTTAATTTCTACAGTATCTATTTGCTATATGATACATCTTATGTTCCACTGATTTGCCTACTGTCTGACTTTTTTGCTTAATCAGTTCCCTTCAAGTCTTCTCTCTAACAAGTATGGGGACAGGCTCCTGTATTATTTTTCTTGGCACACAGCACAGGACTTTATATATTTACCTTTTTAGTGGTTCTTTACTTCCTAAGGTTAATTTTTCAGAATTGCTTTATATTATAAAACTAAAAATCTTTGTTTCTGACCATCAAGTTTAAACCACTTGTGAATGGCTGTTTTCAACAGCTGTTCTTTCCTTCTTTCAATCCCCCAGAACCGCTTCTGACTTTACTGAGACCTCTGTATTTGAATTGGTCCAGAATTTTCTCCCTTTCCTTCTCCTAGTCTCAAAGGTCTCTCCGTGGTTTATCACATTGTTTTTCTAGTGTAGACCTCTTTGTTTTAATTAAAAATACATAAAAATAGTCTAATGTAGCAAGCATTCATGAGATCATTTTCTTTTCAGGCTGCTATTATAAAAATGCCATAAATTGAACAGCTATAAGCAAGAAACATTTGTTTCTCACAGTCTGGAGGCTAGGAAGTCTAGGATCAAAGTGCCAGCAGATCCAGTGTCTGACAAGGGCCCATCACTTATAGATGCTGACTTGTTGACTATTTTATTTGTTTGAAGGCAGAGCAACACAGAGGGAGAGAGAGAAAGAGATTTTTCATCCACTGGTTCATTCCCTAAATGGCTGCAACAGCTGAGTTGGGGCCAGGAGCTAGAAACTCCATCTAGGTCTCCCACTTGGATAACAGGGGCCCAAGTATTTGGGCCATCTTCACTGCTTTCCTAGGCACCTTAGCAGGGAACTGGATCATAAGTGGAGCAGGGGTCGGTGCTGTGGGGCAGCGGGTTAAAGCCCTGGCCTGCAGCACCGGCATCCCATGTGGGTGCCAGTTTGAGTCCTGACTGCTCCACTTCTGATCCAGCTCTCTGCTATGGCCTGGGAAAGCAGCAGAGGGTAGCTCAAGTCCTTGGACCCCTGAACCCGCTGGAAGAAGCTCCTGACTCCTGGCTTTGGCTCAGCTCAGCTCTGGCTGTTGCCACCATTTGGGGAGTGAACCAGTGGATAGAAGACATTCTCTCTCTCTCTCTCTCTCTCTCTCTCTCTCTCGTTCTCGCTTTCTGTCTCTACCTTTCTCTGTAATTCTTTCAAATATTAAAAAAAAAAAAAAAGGCAGTAGAGCAGTCAAGACTTCAGCAGTCATTCCAATATGGAATACCAGTGTCCCAGGCACAGGTGGCAGCCTAGCCCGCTGGACCACAACTCTGGCCCCAGATGCTGACTTTTCACTACATCGCTGGGAAGCGCAAAGAAGCTCCCAGAGGCCTCTTTTTAAAGGTACCAATCCCATTCTGAGGGCTTCTCTCATGAGTTAATCATCTCTCAGGCCCCACCTTGTCTTAATATTTTGGGGTTAGGATTTCAACCTATGAATTGGGGCCTGGGCATACAAACATTTAAGAAAATAACAACTATCCAGAATAACAAACAGGCATGTTTGCTTGTGTTTCCTTTGGCTGTTTGTTTGCTTGCTTTTTGAAAAACACATTCCAGATGTAGTTACCTGTATTTGCATTCCTAGTCCTAGGCCACTCCCTGCTTCCTTAGAGGCTAATGCTATCAGGAATTTAGTATGTTTATGGGTTATTTTCTCCCTCCCAATCCCCAGATGGAGATATCAGAGGGAAATTTTTGGATATAGTTTGAAACTTGTGCCAAAAATAAATGCACATTGCATGAAATTTACCTTTTTAATAACTTTTAACTATGCAGTCCATTAACATTCAGGACATACCTATTGCTGTGCGACCATCAGCCTCATCCATTTCTGGAACTCTTTTCATCTCGCATAATGGAAGCTCTGTGCCCATTAAACAAGAACTCCATATTCTTCCCCTCCCTCCAGCCTCTGGCAACTACCCTTTACTTTCTTCCTCTGTGAATTTGACTATTCTATATCTCTTATAGAAGTTTTAAGCATTTTTCCCCAGGTACTGGTCATTCTGATTACTGTTCCTAATAGTTTATATACTGTGTGCATTTTTCAGTTGTGTTGTTTCATTGATTTATAGGCTTATATGTGTAAAGTTTTGATACTCTTATAGTATTAGTAGTATATTCTTGCTACCTATAGCTGATCATTTAATTTTTTTAAAGATTTATTTTTTTATTTGAGAGGTAGAGTTACAGATAGAGAGAGGGAGAGACAGAGAGAGAGGTCTTCCATCTGCTGGTTCTTGTCCCAAATGACTGCAACAGCCACAGTGGGCTGATCTGAAGCCCGGAGCCAGGAGCTTCTTCTGGGTCTCCCATGTGAGCACAGGGGCCCAAGCACTGTGGTCATCTTCCACTGCTTTCCTAGGCCATAGCCAAGAGCTGGATCAGAAGAGGAGCAGCCGGGACTAACCAGAGCCCATATGGGATGCTGGCACCTCAGGTGGAGACTTAACCTACAATGCCACAGGGCTGGCCCCCTTATTTCATTTTTATTACCAGATAAAAATTGTAGTATTGGCATAATCAAAATTAAGATTTTTCTTTATTTTATACCTTTTGTGCTTTCTTTTAAAAATTCTTCTGTATTTCTAAGGTGAAAAAGATATTCCTCTATACTTTTTTTTTTAAAGATTTTATTTATTTATTTGACAGGCAGAGTTACAGACAGAGTGAGAAAGAGAGACAGAGATAAAGGTCTTCCTTCCACTAGTTCACTCCCCAAATGGCCACTACGGCCGGGGCTGCGCTGATCCAAAGCCAGGAGCCAAGTGCTTCCTCTCGGTCTCCCATGTGGGTGCAGGGGCCCAAGCACTTGGGCCATCTTCTGCTGCTTTCCCAGGCTACAGCAGAGAACTGGACTGGAAGAGGAGCAACCAGGACTAGAACCGGTGCCCATATGGAATGCCAGCACTGCAGGCAGAGAATTAACCTAGTGTGCCATGGCTCCTGCCCCATCCTCTATACTTTTTAAAATAGTTTTAAAGTTTTATTTACCAAGTTAGGTCTTGAATATCATTTTATTTACCAAGTTAGGTCTTGAATAACATTGAGGTTTACTTTGTGGATTCAAATTACACTTCTCACTGATTTTTTAAAAAGGTTTCTTTATTTATTTGAAAGGCAGAGCCACAGAGAGACAGAAAAGGAGAGACAGAGAAATCTTCCACCCGCTGGTTCACTCGCCAAATGGCTGCAAAGGTCGGGCTGGGCAAGGCTGAAGCCAGGAGCCAGGAGCTTCTTCCGGGTCTCCCATGTGGGTACAGGGGCCCAAGTTACTTAGACCATCCTCCACTGCCCTCCCAGGCACATCAACAGGGAGTGGGGTTGGAAGTGGAACAGCTGGGACTCGAACTGGCACCCATAGAGATGCTGGCAGTACAGGTGGTGGCTTTACCTGCTACGCCACAGTGCTGGCCCCTTCCCACTGATGTTTTAAAAAATTTTTTTTTACTTTTTAAAAAATATTTATTTATTTGAAAGAGTGACAGAAGGAGGAAGAGAGAGTTTTATCCATTACTTCACTCCCCAAATGTCCCCAGTAGCCAGGGCTATCCCAGGCTGTATCAGGAACCAGGAGCTGCATTCAGATCTCCCACATGGCTCGCCAAGAACTCAGGCACCTGGGCCACTATATGCTGCCTCCCAGGTCCAGTAGTAGAAAGTTGGATTGGGAAGTGCATGGCTGGGACCTGAACCAGGCACTCTGATAGTGATGCAGGCCTCTTAAGTGGCAACTTAACACCCACCTCATGACACCTGCCCTTGTTTTATTTTTTTTATTGTGGGAAAATGCACATTAAATTTACCATCTTAACCATTTTTAAATATACTATTCTGTAGTATTAGATTGATATCGTGGACCCGAGCTCCAAAACGCTCTTCATTTTACAGAACTGAAACTCTAACCTATGAAACAACTTCTCCTTCTCTCATCTCCTAGCCCCTGGCAAGCACCCTGCTTTCTGTGTAGGTGATTTGCTTATACACCTTATATAAGTGCAGGCATACAGTAATTGGCTTTTTTGTGACTGATCTCACTTTGTTTATTATCCTCAAGATTCCTTAATGTTGTAGCACATATTAGAATGTCCTTCCTTTTTAATACTGAATAATGCATTCTGTTTGTACATTCATCCACAGATGGACACCAGGGTTGCTTCCCGCTTTGGTGATTGTGGATAGTAGAGTGTACATTGTGGATACTTTGTAATATAAATAAATACATTAAATATAAATAAAAAGTGTCAGACTCTGCTTTCATTCTGCTGGGAATATACCCAGAAGAGGAATTTCTGAATCATATAGTAATTCTATTTTAATGCGGTTTTAATAACTATAGCCTTATTTAAGTATCTCTACTGGGGCAAGTCTTTTTCAAAATTCCACATAATTGTTGGAATTAGCCAAGTGAAATATCCTGTTGAATGCTTATTCAAATCCCATTTGTAGATTGCTGGCAAAGTAACATCCTAATAACTGTAACTGTTGCCATCTGTGATTTAAATATATCTATCTTGTAATTTGTTGTGATCTTTGTGTTTTTAAAATTAATTTTGTAATGTTCCTTATAAAAGTTGTGTTCATCTAGTACTTAGCAATAAATTTGCCGAAATGATGAACTTGCAGGGATGGGGGATTTTTGGATATCAGCTCAATTCTTTTTTTGTTGTTATATATATTTAGGCTTGCTTTCTTGGATGTGTTTTGGTAACTTGTATTTTTCCTCTAAGTTTTCTTATTAACATTTTCTGACATATTTGCATGTTTTTTTTCAAAGGAGTCCTGTGGCTTTTACAATCTTGTGAGAGTTTTCATCTTTATGAGAATTCCCATTTACCTACATCTTCACCAGATCCTGGTATCGTTAGACTATTGTTTTTTGGCAGGCTGAAGGATATGAAATGGGATCTTGTCACTGGTTTTGTTCCATGCAAATTCTTTGTTATTTGGTTTCTCGTCTTTTCTTGCTTGAGGTGCATCTATCAGTCTCTTCAAACTCTTGATTTTGTTGGCTATCCCTGGTTTTTTACTGTGCTATTTTTGCTAAAATATTCTCTTCCTCATATCCCTTCTAGTATCCTTAGGTTAACTTTATTATTCTTTCCTTAACTTCTTTAACTTTTATTTTAAATATTTTATTTATTTATTTGAGAGGTAGAGTTACAGAGGGAGAGACAGAGAGAAAGGTCTTCCATCTGCTCGTTCACTCCCCAAATGGCTGCAACAGCTGGAGCTGAGCCGATCTGAAGCCAGGAGCCAGGAGCTTTTTCCAGGTCTCCCACATGGGTGCAGGGGCCCAACCACTTGGGCCATCTTCCACTGCTTTCCCAGGCCATAAGCAGGGAACTGGATTGGAAGTGGAATAGCTGGGGCACGAACCAGCACCTATATGGGATGCCAGCACCACAGGCAGAGACTTAGCCTACTGCACCACAGTGCTGGCTAAAACTTCTTTAACTTTTAAGCCATTTATTTGCAATCATGTAAAAATAATTATTTTAACTATAATTTCTTCCTTTAAGTGTAACTTTGCTGTGTCCAGTGTTTGATATTCTAGTGCTTTCATTGTTATCCAGTTTTGATTATCATTTCTGCATTAATGTTATTAGTGTCAACTTATTTTTTCAAATAGATGAGAAACGTTTCTATTTTCAAGGTTTTTTTTAATCTGACTAAAAATTATGGGTTATTTTTTTGCAGAACTTGAATGGAAGCTAGCAGAAGTTGGAGCAATACAGACTGATTTGGAAGCAAACCCCAAAAAAGGCATTGTAGATATGATGATGTCTTCAATTAGAAACACTTCCATTTATGATGACAGTAATAGTTCCAACAGTGATAATGATACCAAATAGAAATATTTGGTAAATATCATCACAGTACGTGTATATGGAATGTTTTATTTACTGCTGCCTTTATAATGGAAACCAGAAAGTTTATCGATTGATTGATTTTCATTTGTATGTTAGAAACATAGTTTATATGTCATTTCAAAAATGTTCAGGTATTTCACAATATTCATTGCTTCCAACAAAACCAGTATTTCTACTAAACTCTTAACATTTCTCTGTGACATAGCCTTTCACTGAGCATGCTTGACACAAACACAAATATTCCAAGTTCTCTGTGTTGCCTGTTCTCTCCAAAGAGACCTGGGAGTGAAAATAATGGGGAACCATAACAATTTCATGTAGTCAACATATATTTTTTAACATTTAAAAAATCATTTTCAATATTTGGGGGATGGAGACCAAGACACAAATGGAGAATCTTCCATATACTATTTCACTCCCCAGAAACCCACAACAGTCAAGGCTGTACTAAACCAAAGCCAGAAGCCTCAAACAGTCTGGGTCTCCCATGTGGCTGGCAGGCACTCACGTACTCTGCTAATGGCCTGGGAAAAGCAACAGAAGATGGCCCAAGTGACTGGGCCCCTGCCGTCCACGTGGGAGACTGGGTTGAAGCTTCTGGCTCCTGACTTGAGGCTGGCCCAGCCCTAGCTATGTGGCCATTTGGGGAATGAACCAGCAGATGGAAGATTCATTCTCTCTTTCTCTTACTCTTTCAAATAGATAAATAAATCTTTTAAAAATTTACTATTTAATAGTATAATGTGAAGATTCTGAAAATATGTAAGAAACATCCCCACTCATTTTGTATTCTAAATAATTCTGTTAAGTTAGAGAAGAAAATTACCAAGTATTACCACTAATAATCAAATTATAGAATCATTAGGATAGTATGACATGCAAATTTCTAAATTCTGAGGCGAGGTGAGAAAAATACATTATGTATGGAACTTGCTTGTTTTAATAAAAATTAGAAAATAATTCATCCTGAGAAAACGTATAATGTGAGGACACTGCAGAAGACTTGCAGGATGTTTTATGTTGGCATAATAACGATCATCATTTTTGGAAGAAGGAGTGGTAAATCCAGCCTACAGGAGTTCAGCGCTACATTGCATTCTTCCACTTTTTGATGACTCATGATTCACATTATAGATGTCCACCAATGTTTGTAAGAGAATCTAGAGTGAGTTTCAATGCTTAGATTACGAACATATATGGGTGAGAATTGAAGCAATTTAACATGAAGTCAAGAAAAGTTTCTTTGTTGCTGTTGTTTAGAAGTTAGAGACTTTAGATGTTGCAGAGAATTGAAAAGTAGATTATTCCCATTAATAGCATTATTTTAGTTCACCAAATAGGATAAAATCATTCAGAGAATTACCTAGTTATCTTGACACAACTTCCCTTAATGAATGAATGGATACATTGCTATACAGGATAAAATGATTGTGGATGTGAAGGAAGAACCATATTATCATAAAGTTAACGCAGTAATTCTAATGCCACTTAGTATATATAAACATGAACACATTTGCCCTCCAATTGAAACCAAATGCAAAATGTTTCCCTAAAAGTGATCTTCCTTAAGTAAATACATATTTATCTGCTTTGTTAAGTTAAAATTAGCAGAGGAAGTAATTGTAGTACTTGGGATAGCTGAAAATAAAGGTATATATTTCCTTTTTAACTCTTAACTCGTAGTCATCAAGTGACAATAAGTTTTCACACAGAAACACATTTCTGAAGACTGTGTCGTGTGTAAGAACTGCACAATGATAGCATGTTAGAGCTGCCTCCTTGTGATGCCACCCCTCTCCTCTGCAGAGTGCACATGCGTATGCTAGCCAGGACTCTTGCCTGGCGACAAAGTCCCTGCTACTTCAGAACACCTGTCATTTAAGTAAGGCAGAAATATTTGTCAGAATGTGAGTAAATTACTTAACATATTATCTCATTTCCCATTTTGTTGAATGAACTTTTGTTTGATGGGGTAGAAGCTTAAAAGTTTTATTGCCCAATATTCAACTGTTTGACCTACAAAAAGATTGTATTTCACCTATTTCCATTGTCTTTTCTTTGCCAACATGCTCTATTGAACTTCCTTTCCCTTTGTAGTGCTTTGCTTGTCAAAACGTCATCCTGGAATCAGCAGTATTCCCGGAGAACTTGAGGGAATTACAGACTCTCTGGCCCCATGCCAGACGTAGTGAAAGGGGATTTTCATTGTAAGGTGATTCCAGGTGATGGTATTCACATTAAAGTCTGAGAAGCACTGGCCGGCAAATCCCTTGAAGATGGCTGAGCCTGTTCTTTAACTCTTTCCCCACACTCTATTTTTATTTGTTTTAAATAGAAACCTTGGGTATTTTTTATTATTTATTTATTTATTTATTTGAGAAGTAGAGTTACAGACAGTGAGAGGGAGAGACAGAGAGAGAGGTCTTCCATCCTCTAGTTCACTCCCCAAATGGCTACAACAGCCAGAGCTGTGCCGATCTGAAGCCAGGAGCCAGGTGCTTCTCCTGGTCTCCCATGCGGGTGCAGGGCCCAAGGACTTGGGCTATTCCACTGCTTTCCCGGGCCACAGCAGAGAGCTGGATTGGAAGAGCAGCTGAGACTAGAACTAGCACCGGTATGGGATGTTGGCACTGTAGGTGGTGGCTTTATCCGATACGCCACAGCGCTGGCCCCTCCCCACACTCTAACTCACGAAATCTGACCATTTTAAATTTCAGCCTCAGTTCCAAGTCAAACATTGTCTGACTGAACTTGCAACTCAAGGAACTCTGAAGATGGGAGGCGTGGTTCGTTTTTAACCAGTTATTTCCCTGTCCTTTCCAGAACCATCCTTCTGGTCTTGAGCACCGAGAAGTGTAGGGCTGAAAGGAATGTTTCTCCTCTCTGTACCGTCCACACTGCATTCAGATGTTCATCTTTAATGGGTACCTTGAGTTCTAGAAGCTCTGAGGCAGCCTCCCCACTGCATGGACCCACACAGGGACAGGTCAGTCTTCTCTCCTTCTCCTTCTTGCTGCTAGAATCTTTCCCCCTTAGGCATCAAGATGGTTAATCTTGGACAATACTTCCTACACAGCATGAATTGGCCCATCAGAAAGGTATGCATCCGTGCTACACCGAATGGCGGGAAGGCACATTGCATTACTTCAGCTCTCTCCTTGGCCAGCTAATTCTCTGGAAGTCCCTCCTGTGTTCAGGTGGGTGCATGGCAATATCAACAAACCCGAGAACAGATGAAATCCCAGTATCCCCTTCTTAGGTCTTCTCCATGTTTTCTAGCTGGTTCTATTGGAGTCTTGGTCATTATACTTGGGGCAGGATGGAGGCGTAAAAAGCAGTGGGGAAGCCACTGTACTCCTCAGGACCCCAGCAAGACGTGTCTCAGTGGTTCAATGACTTCCTTTTCCCAGGTGTTCTGCTTATATGGCCCGAGATTGGGGCATTGAAGGTTTTGGCCATGTAGGCTTAGTTCTGCCCAACCTGGAGCTGAAAGAGCTGGTGTCCAGTCTCAAGTGTTGGCAGTTACTTAGTGTAGAGGTCACCCTGGGGACTCCTGGTGGGCAGGAAAATCTCTGGCTATCAGCAATAAAACTCCCCAGCTCTTCCCAGAAGAGCAGATTACCTAACTGGGAAAACCCACTGGACTGCAGGAAAGCTCCCTAACTAGGAGGAGGCCGCCACTCCAGGAATAGCCCTGGGATTATAGTCCTTGTATAGCCTCCAGCCTCTGGGTGTCCTGCTGCTCCTTGGCAGCAGGTTCAATGAATCTCATGCTGCTCACTCTGATTGTACTGGCGAATCTTTCACCACCCACGACACTGGCCCCAGTCACTTTCTGCCGCATCTGGGTGGAACACATCATGGCCTTTGCTTCCTGTTGTGAACTTCACCCAGCGTCTTACACAGGTGTTGGCTCTGTCTATGACAGTGTTTCATATTCTTGTGAGCTTCCAAATACTGGATTATCATCACAGTGTTAGGGACATCGTAGTTCACGACCCCCCCCCCCCACTTTGTACTCTCATTCACTCATATTACTAAGGCTACTTCTTGCTGACAACTTGCCTGTTACCATAATGTGGGATATAAAGATGGTCCTAAAAAATCTTTGTAGCATGGTTAACTTTTCATGCATGTTTAACTCATCATGCATTTAATCACTCCTTCATCTCAGACATTAACATGGGTACTGTGTGCACACTGGTGAATGAACTGCACGGTTCTTGCCCTTCTGATGATTACCATACAGTGATGGGGAAGACAGTTAATACCTAAGAAACTACATAAATAATTCAAAAAAGGTATGGTCGACACAATGAAAAATGATACCTGTGGGTATTATGTGGGGGGAGGGTTGGTGAGAACCAGTCGTAAGAAAAAATGGGGGTGGGGGAGCAGGACATGGCATATACCAAAGCCTAAGGATACAGAAAGAAATGAAAAGGAGGTTTCTGGGTGGGAGTGTCAGGAAAGGAGTAGAAAAATGGGAGGCTGTGCTGCAGGAAGCAGCAGGTGGGGGTCAGCGCTGGGGGCAGTCAGAGTTCACCAGAGCAGTCAGAGTAGAGTTAGATTTACTGAGTACATGCAAGGGGCAGCAGTCTACAGCACAGCGAGGCTGTCCGGTGCCCAGACTGCAATCTGAGAGGCTTCTACGTGGCGGCAGCCTCCTCATAGCCCGGCTGCTTTGCTTTCCTGTGGTCCGATGGGGTCTCTCTCTCACATCCTTTGCCTTTCTGGTCAGAGCTGGGAGGTTTCCACTGCTGTTACCTAGGGCCTTCCCCAGCTGCCACAGCTCCAGATGACCCCCCAGAGGACCCCCCAGTCCCCTGAGAGGTAAGAGGATGACCAATCTTTGGCATTTGGGTGGAGGTACTGCTTCCTGCTGCTCAGGGTGTTATGTTGCCCCTGTCTTTGATTGTCAGGCTTCCAAGGGGTTGGGGTATCTCAGGCCCTGGCTGCAGGAATCCAGTAGGTAGAAGAGCCTCAGGGGAGAGGGAGTGGTCC